ACGTACAGGTTTAATCAGACTTGTTTGTTCAATCGGAACGTGTTCGGCTCTTCCAACATGTTCTTCCCGCTGTAGCACTGGCCTCATGTTCGAGCTTCCGCTCGATTCGAATCGTCCCGAGTGCTGTGTTTTTTGTTTTCGCACAGGTTGGGGGAGTGTGTTGTTCATTTATGTTGTTCCATCCAAACTTGTTCTGTTTTTCAGACACGCTGTTCCCGCGGCAGCGTTGGCCTCATTTTCAAGCTCCAACCGCCGTCCGTGAGGACGACAGCTGGGCCCTCCTCAGATTGATCCCTAAGTCGGGGATGAAAGGAATGCATCAGCATAAACCTTCGGTGGTCCTCCCGCGGCCGCGGGTGATCAAACGAACGCAGGAGGAAGAACAGGAAACCAGTTCCCGCAAGGCGGAACAAGAAAACACCAGGGGGGCAAACCATTTCTCATTAACAAAAATCCTGGCTGCTGAATTCTATCAGTCTGCCACACTCATTGATTTTGGGCCCCCCGGGAAGGGGGGGCGGGGGTGGGGCATGTTCTGAACCGCTTGCCCCCGTCACGCGAAAGGCTGCGCCGCAAGCCCTTGTTGGAGGGACACTTCGGAGCAGTACACCTCCTGGATGACCACAACGGCTCCGCGTTGCATGTGCTAGAGCACGCGCAAGTTTCGGAGAAGCCGCTTGCTGCGAGAGCACAGGAGCCCAGATGCATTCCAGCTCGCCAGCGTTGCCTCCCCGGGGGAGCCTGCCGAGCTCCAAGGGGCGAAGCGGTCGTTCAACACGCCACTCCACAATATCTGCCACTTACGAAGGACTGCATCGTTGTCCATTGGACTTCGGACGGCATGGTTCCATGGTTAAACACGCCACCCCACAGTATCTACCACTCACGAAGGTCAGCGGCGGCATGGTTCCATTGGACGTCGGAGTCGGAGTCCTGGCCGCGGATCTCTACCCGTACCACTGGCGTCCCCGCAGAGAAGACCTCGCCGAGAGCGCGGAACGCGGGCCCGCTTGTGGTAGGGGGCGACCTTCTGCAAGGCCAACTGCATCTTCCTCGTGTAGATATCCTTGCGTATCGTTGGCGCTGTCTTGTCCGGGTTGACTCAGAGTGGTCTCGATGGTGCGGCATTCTGTGCCCGTCCAGATGGCCTGTCCCAGAGCCAGGGCCCGGGGTGGGGCAACGGGAGACCCTCCATTGGCACCAGAAACGTCTGGCGGGAATGCTGCCGTAGAACTCGACCATGCTGGTTGCGAGCTTGTCCAGCTCGCCAACGCTATCAGGAGCAGCATTGCGAGGGCACGAAATCGAGAACAGTGTGGGGCCCACCTCCCAGCCCCATTCAGCCATCCGCCCGATGTCGACGAGGCCCACCTGCTGCTCGGCCATGCCCACGAGCTCGGATAGACGGTACACCTGTCGGCGCAAGCGCCGCTGCTCGGTCTCAGCAGCATCGATCCGCGGTCGCTGTCCCGTGACATCGGTGGTAATGCCATCGGTTCTCTGATTGAGCCACTGCACCTGGTTCTGGAGGAGCGACGCAAAGTCCTTCTGGGCCTGTTGCAGGAGCTGCCTCGACTGCGCCTCGAAAGCTGGCGTGGCGTCACGGACCTGGCGCTGGAGCAGGGCCTGAATCTCCGCCCGCAAGCCCAGGCCATCGCCGCAAGGACAGTCGAGCCAGCACCAGCGCCAGCGGGCCAGGGGATGAGCAGAGCCGCCACCTGGAGCGGCTGCAAGCGCCATGGCCGCGGCAGCAGCAGCAGCAGCAGCAGCAGCAGCAGCAGCAACTGCTGCTGCTGCTGCTGCTGCTGCTGCCGCGGGCCGGGAAGACCTTCATCGCGTCCGCCGCCATCCGCAGCAGGCCGGCCAGCGCCAGCTGGAGGAGCTGGGGCCACGGCTGCGCCCGTGGCTGCCAATGTAGCGATGCTAGCGGCGGCTCGGGTAGTTTGTTCCTCAGCGGCAACTTCGGACCGGCGATGTCGGGGACGCCCGCATTTCTCGCGCCGGCGCCGCTCACCGCTGCGGCTCTGCTCGCGGTCATCGGCGGAGTCCGACGAATCGCGGGCCGAGGCTGCCATGGCGGCGGCAGGTGACAAGTGGAGAAGTACGCATGATCGGATGCCCGGCAAGCAGCCAGGAGAAAGGCGAAAAGTAGTCTTAGTTGGCACAAGGGGAAGGCGCTGCTGCCCATGCTCGAGCGAGCTTGGGCAGTTCAGGAGCAGGTCCCTTGAGCCATGATGGCTACGGACGAAGCGGGGCAGGACGAGGAGCAGGATACGGAAGACGAGGAGGCCGAGAAGGGGTTGGAGGACCAAGCGAACGCGCACGCGCACGTGCACGCGCAAGGACAGCGGGAATGGCACCGCCACCGTGTCCCCTGGCACGACGTGCCACCCCAGCAGCGCGGCGGGATGCCATTCGTGAGCCGTCTGGCAGGGGACCGCTGGTTTCGCCGACGGCTGGATTCGCCCGGCTGGTTTCGCCGCACGGCGAAACCAGCTCCGTCGGCGAAACCAGCTCCGTTGGCGAAACCAGCTGCTGTCGGCGAAACCAACTTCAGTCGGCGAAACCAGCTGCCGTCAGCGAAACTGCCCGACCCGATGCGCCCGCTAGGGTCCGCCCGCCCGACTCGACCCGCCCGTTAGGGTTCGCGCGTGCTCGGTCGAGCGCGCCCCACTTTAATGTCCCGCCCGCCCGACCCGACCCGCCCGTTAGGGTCCGCCCGCCTGGCCCGACCCGACCCGACCCGCCCGTTAGGGTCCGCCCGCCCGACCCGACCCACCCGAAGGGCTCGCGTCGGCGTGACCAGCGCCGGCGAAACCAGCCGCCGGCGAAACCAGCGGGACGAAACCGGCGGGGCGAAACCAGCGCCGGCGAAACCAGAGCCGGCGAAACCAGCCGTCGGCGAAACCAGCGTGGCGAAAACAGCGCCGGCGAAACCAGCACCTGCGAAACCAGCTCATGCCGTCTGAAAGGGGCTCCATATAGGTCTCCTGAGCGGGCGGCGTCAGCTGGCAAGGCCGGCCAGGCCACCTCACCGATCGCTCAGGATGGGACAGGCCAGGATCAGTGATGCAGGCAGGATAGCCCAGAACCGATCAGTCGGATCCACAATCGAAATGAATCGGATCGGCGGAAATCGGCAGCCGAGTCGGAAAATATGGAATCGGCGGAAATCGGCAGGCCAGTAGGCCTCCATGGAGAGAGATCAGAGCCCACATCGGGATCCGAAATCGAATCGAAGCGGCATCAGAAGCCATCGGAATCGGAGGAATCGAAATGAGCCCTGGTGATGTGGGCAGCGGAGTCGCCCCCTCGGAGCTCCCCCTCACCTTTCGTTTCAAAGTGCTGCAAGCCCTGCCCCCCTTGGGGGTCGACGTCGGACGCGCTTACCACCTGCCAACCCACCCCAGCCCAGCCCGAAGACCTCCATTTGCCTTCCACTTCCTGTGGGTGGGGGGGGGGTCGGAGAACGTCGAAAAAACACATATGGGACGTACGGTGGGGGCCCGTGCCAAGAAACACCCTGCTTCCTCCAGGGTGCCCTCTCGAGGCCCTGTGGGCGGCCCCGCGTGCACGCGGGGCGCTGCAGGGCTCTCCGAGGCTCCCAGGACGGCTCGGGAGGGCCAGCAAGGCGAATGTGCCAAGACAGCCCCAGCATTGCACCGAGAGGCACCCGGCCGCCCCGAAGGAGGCCCCGACAGGTGCCGAAGGCCAGAGGAACCCTAGGAGAAGAGACTCGAGCCTTCCAAGGAGGCCCACATCAGGCCCACATCACTCCAACACCCGAGGGATTTGGGAAAAGATGTGGATTTTTCCAGACCGTCCAGTTGAGCTGGGCACTCGCTTTGAACCACAGCGACCCGCGTCTCGTCCTCCTCCTCATCCTCCTTCGCCTCCCGTCAGTCGTCCTCCGCGCATCCATTTCGGCATCCTTCGAAGCTTCCCACCCTCCGATCCCTGTTTCGGCACACCATCGCACGTTTCGTGGCCCCTTCGGGTAGCTCTTCATACGGCCCATGTGATCGCGCCCGTCGCGGCACCGCCCCCCCTGCTGGCACACCTCCCACACGTGTCGTGGCCGCTCTTAGATGGCCCAATGCAGCCCCAAGGGGGGCCCAAAGACAGCCCAGGCGGGATCCATGACGGCCCAAGAGGGCCCTCTCACAAGCCCCCAAGACAGCCCCGAGAGAACCCCAGACAGCCGAGAGCCCCAAGAGCCTCAAGAAGAACCGTGTGGGCCCAAGGATGGCCCGGGAGGGTCCCGAGATGGCCCCAGGACTGCCCCAGGATGGCGAGGCAGGCCCCGTGAGATCCCCTCCAAGAAGGAAGACGAGCTGTGCCACGTGGTGCGTCCTTCTGGGCGGTGCCCGGAGTGTCCCGACATGAAAAGAGTGCTGCACCGGCACGGCGGCGGAGCGTGCCGCACGCAGCCGCATCCAAGCATGTTGGCGCTGCACGTTGACTTCCGACGCCTCCCTGCGGCTTCCGCCGACCTCCGGCCGCCTTGCGCCAGAGGGCCCGCAGCCGCTTCACTCCCGCCGGCTTCCGCCGAAGGCGAGACCAGCCGAAGGCGCGGCCACTCCTGCAGCGCCGCACGAGGAGAGGCCAAGGCGGAGGGGGAACGGGAAACAGAGGAGGGGAAGAGGAGAGGTGGGAGGGGCAGGAGATGCAGGAGGCCGAGGTGAAGCGGGCTTTGCTGTATTCCTGCTCGTGAACACATGTGTCACGCGTGCGGAGCTGCACTGTCAATGCCGCGCTCTCAATAGCTTTGCTGTGCTCCTGCTCGCAACGCACACCGCCAGAGGCGGCGGAGAGCTCGAGAGATCCACCTACCAAAACGAACAACAAGAGGAAGCAGGAGATGGGGGGGCGAGGGGGGCCCGGGGCCCGAGGCGAGGGACGCGCGCAGGGGCGCGCCCCTCGGCAGCAACGGGAGCGGCGCGCTTGAGCAGCGGCACGAGCAGCAAGCGCCGGGGCGGCGCGGCTGAGCGGCTCTGCGCCTCCGCCTGCCTGTCCAGCTGGGAGATCCGGCCGATCAGGCGGCCGAGGGCGTCGTCGCTGGTGTCGCCCTCCTGGCGAGCGGCAGCGGGCCATGACAAAACATCTCGACGGGAGGCCTCTTGCCGTTGCAGGGGGGGGCCCTCGCCAGACTCCAGAGCCGTCGAACAACAACGACTCAGGATGAGAAGCCTGTCCCAGGTCGGGGATCTACTGGCCCGGGTCAATCCAGACCAGGGCCAATCAGGCCTTGCAAGATCCTGCGAAATCCTGCAGGATCCTGCACCCAAGCCCGGGTCAGTGCGCCTCTGGCCCTGCAAACTCCTGCAAGATCCGGCTCTCTGGATTACCACCGTTTGCATTGACTCCCGTCTCGTGAGCCCCGACCAGGGAAAGGGTTGTTACTCCCGGGGGTCCCCGCATCGAAAACAATACGTCGGACCTCAGGGCGACCGACCACGGGGCCGGCACCGCTGGCAACATCTTTCGCTCGCGTCAGCCCTGGCGAAGGGATGTGGCCCAGGATGTGGCGCAGGATGTTGGGGGGCGGAAAGATACGGATACGTGTTGTCCCCGGACCTCTCTTGGGGTGCGTTCTGATCAGAATCCCACCAGCCCTTTAGGGCGTGAGTGGTTTAGAGAGCCCCCTCTGTCCTCAACCCCCCTTCTTCCCCATCGGGGAGGGGTTTACCCCTCCCCCTACCCCCTCCCCCTGGGCCTGGAGAGGGAGTTCCGCGGGTGGTCAGGGGGGTCTTTTTCGACGCCTGGGAGGGCCAAAAAACGACGACCCTCACGAGAATTCTGGCCCCGACGGGGGGGCACTCTTGTAGCCCCCTCCTCTTCTGTGAAGCCAAAATCATTGTTTTTACGATGGTTTTGGCCCCATTTTGGTCTCCCGAGGGGGCCGCGCTCATCTTCCTTCATAGCAAAATCATTGATTTTACGATGGTTTTGGGCTCAATTTGTCCTTCTCAGGGGCAGCGCTTCTTTGCGCTTCTGAGGAGGTCTCAAGAGGCCCCAAGATGGCCCCAAGAGGTCCCAGGAGCCTCCCAAGAGGCCTCCAAGAGGCCCCCAAGAGGCCCCCAAGAGGCCCCCAGAGGCCCCCAAGAGGCCCCCAGAGGCCCCAGGAGGCCCCCAAGAGGCCCCCAAGAGGCCCCCAAGAGGCCCCCAAGAGGCCCCAAGTGGCTCCAAGAGGCCCCCAAGAGGCCCCACGAGGAGCCCGAACGACTCACACCAGGACGAGGGGCCCGAACGACTCACACCACGAAGAGCCCGAACGACTCACACCACAAGGAGGGGCCCGAACGACTCACACCAGGACGAGGCGCCCGAACGACTCACACCACGAGGAGCCCGAACGACTCACACCACGACGCGGGCCCCGAACGACTCACACCACGAGGAGCCCGAACGAGTCACACCAGGAGGAGGGGCCCGAACGACTCACACCAGGATGAGGGGCCCGAACAACTCACACCACGAGAAGCCCGAACGACTCACACCAGGACGAAGAGCCCGAACGACTCACACCACGAAGAGCCCGAACGACTCACACCAGGAAGAAGGGCCCGAACGACTCACACCAGGACGAGAAACCCCAAACGACTCAAATCACGAGGAGCGCTTTCTCTCCCTCCTCCTCCGCCTCGTCCTTCTCCCGCTCCCCCCACAAGGAGGATGTACAAGGAGGCGGGAGGAAGGAGGAACAGAGGAGATATGCGGGGCCAAATGGACACACGCCTGAAAAGCACGACTGTCGGCATGCTTCGCATGAGTTGCTGTTGTGAGATGGGCTGGTGGGGATACGCGAAGCGTAAAGAATTTCGAGGCGAATCCAGCGGTGACAACGAGGATTCCCCAGGAGGACCAGGAAAGGCCGAAAACGAAGGGGGACAACACGTATCCGTTTCTTTTTCTCCCCCGAGGATGTGGCCCACTCCCCGTGGACGGAGCGCCGCGAGAGGGACGGATCTCTGGGCAGTGCGGGCGGGGGCAGCGCGGCGTGTGAGGGGTGCGCCGGCATCCCGCAGGGGCGCCAGGCGGGCCCGGGGACGGGGGCCCTGGGCAGAGCTCGCTTCGAGGCCACGAGGCATGTGAAGGGTGTGCCGGAAGGCCGAAGGGGCAAGGAGGCCAGGGTACTCCAGATTTCGTAATAAAAGGGAGGGGTCTGGACCCGCCAAGACAAGCCATTTCAGACCTCCCCCGTGGGAGAACCCTCCAAAACATCGTCCCCAGACCCCCCCAGGCCCTCCAAGATAGCCTGGAAGAGACCCCCCCCGAAATGAGACCCCCCTCCCTTTGTTACGAAATCTGGGGTAGCCTTGGAAAGTTGCTCATCCTTGCTTGGCGGGAGGACTCTACCTGAAGTGAGCGCGAGAGGCGAGGGGTAGAGAGAGAGAGAGAGGTGACGATAGCGGGGGGACTGGCACAGGACGGGGGAGGGAAACATCGAGCTGGAGTCGGCGATACGTCGCCGAGAAACCTGCGACAGGCCCCCGATAGCGAAGCAGCACGTTCCTGCGCGGGATGGGCCACCAGGCCCCTGTCGGCGATGAGTGGGCGTCGAGGCGTTCTCCCCCGAACCAGTCCTCTCCTGTTGATGCTCTCTTGATTTCGGGTCACAACTCGGCTCTCCGGCGGCCGTTCGGGGCGATGTGGGCACCCCTGGGCGCCTTTCGGCGAGAAGGCAACCTGAGGCTGGAAAACCTTCGAGAACCGACGAAACGCGTCCGAAAACGTCAGACCTCGAACCGGGAACTTACCCGTTGCCTCTCAGACAGCGATAAAGAGAGAAAGAGAGAGAGAGAGAGAGCGGAAGAGAGAAAGAGAGAGAGAGAGAGACAAACATAACGAGACAGACAGACAGACAGGCAGGCAGGCAGGCAGGCAGACAGGCAGACAGACAGACAGACAGACAGACAGGCAGACAGACACACAGACAGACAGGCGCGCAGACATATCGACGGACACGCGGACGAACCGAGGCTGCGACATGCTGGGCCCCCCTCCGACCCGCGCTCCTTGCCCGAGGCGGTGGCCCTCTCGATGTTGTTCTCGGGGCGGGGGCGCGCGCCCCGCCCGCAGGCTGCGGCAGCAGGCGCCTCCATGCAAACCCTTGCTGGAAAGCGGAGGGGGACCGAGTCAGTGGCCTGCCAGTGGGGGTCAGACTCGTGGGGGGCCAGGGTACGCGAAGCACAGGCCAGGACACGCAAGCACATCTTCTGACTGAAAAAGGTTGGCCCGGGCAAACAACAGGCCAAATCATCTCCAACAACGACTGTTAGCCAACGTGGGCCCCACACCGTGTGCTTCTAGCAATATATGTTGTGTTCTCTGTGTGGTGAAATCTAAGTTGTGCAATATACGTGGTGCACTCCAAGTTGTGGAGTCGACGTTGTGCAACAAATTCTGTGCAATCTATATTGTGTAATCTACGTGGCGCAACCTATGTTGTGCACTCGACTCTGTTCAACCTGCGTGGTGCAATCCAGTGTGCGCACTCTACGTGGTCCACTCTAGATTGTCCACTCCATGCGAACACACCACAAACAAACCCACCCACCCGCAATCTGGCTTGCAAAACTGATGCGGCGGCGATTGCGATGGCTGCTTGGCGCTGGCTGATGCATCTCCGCAGATGCGCTTGGGCGCGCAAGCTTGTTTGACGCGACCGACAAACGCGGCTGCGTTGGCGTTGCCCGCTGGGCACGTCCCACAGCGTCTTGCACGCCGCGCCAGTGCACGGGCACGTCGGTGCGAGTTGGTGCCGCGAGCGGGCGCGGGACCATAGCGACGTCGACAATGGCAGACGCGATGATGATAGCAGCGATGCTGGTCACGCCCATGACGATGATGGTGTCCACTCGTCGGCGATGAAGGTTTGGGCCAGATTTCGACGTGCGCGCGCGGCTGATGGGCGCCAGTGGCCCGCAGGAGAGAATTGCACAGGAATCGTCCCGCCTCCACCACGCGATCGTGCCCCCCACGCACGCGCGCAAGGGCGTTCAAATGACTTCGACATGCGCGCGCGGGGCTCCTTTGGTCGCATGTGATGAAAAGATTGAGTAGCCGATGGTTTCCCGAAGATTTCGCGCGGGCGCGCGCGAACCACTTTGGAACAGACATGTTGCACAACCGTACTTGTACCAATATGTATTTGTATGTATCGAGATACTCGGGACATTCGGCCATCCGACAAAAGCGGCGCCTAAGGTTTTGAAAGATTTCGGCACGCGCGCGCAACGACAAGCAAGAGCACCCTTCGTCCCGCCCTTCTGCTGAAAAGGGGTTCTTGAACATGGACCTTTGTCGATAAACGAATGTGCGCGCATCGTTTTTGTTTGCAAACAAGGGGTCGGGACCGGCTCGGCTGCGATCCAACGATTTCATATAACGAACGACTGGGCCACACCATATGTAACCTGCACATCCCCAAGTGGGGCCGATTATCCTGGCCTCGGCGGCGTGGTAGATCTGATTTTTTGTACGACGGGAAAATCTACGCTGTGCAGTCTGCCAACTCCACTGCTCGCGCAATCATCCCACCCACCCGCCCGCAATTTCGTTCGCAAAACCTATGCGGCGGCGATGGCGGCGACTGCTCGGCGCTGGCTGGCGCATCACCGTGGCCATGCTAGCGCGCAGGCTGGCGCGCAAAGCGGCCTGCAAGCCTGACGCAGCCGACGCGGCCGCGGCGGCGCTGACCGCTGGAGACTCCCCAGCACGTCTCGCAGGCTGCGTTGACGCGCGCGCACGTCAGCGCGCGTCGCTGACTCGGGCGGGCGCGGTGCCGTGTCGATGTCGACAACGGCAGACACGATGATGATTGTAGCGATGCTGATGACAATGGCAGCAATGACGGCGGCAAGGGCAGTTACGGAGTCGATGCCGATCACGCCGATGGCGATGATGGTATCCTCGCGTCGGCGACGACGGTTGCGATAAGGATTTCGCCGTGCGCGCGTGGCCGACGCACGCGACCAGCCCCCATATTAGGATGATCGTTTTATTATTGCAGCCGTTTTCCCTTTCAACTTTGAATAATCCACGGGTTCGTTCGATGAGGACGATATTTCCCCGAACGGCGCCGCGCGGCATGCCTGCGGCTTTCCTCGTCGCACGCACGAGAGCGTTTCTTTATTTTCGGCGATGACATGCGCCATGGGGGGCGGGAAGGGTGGGGGGGGGCATGACGTAACGCCCTTCCCCGCCGTGTGGCTCGGGCACCACAACCGCGCCCGCGCGCACGACGACGATGAGCGACGAGCGACCAACGACGAGCGACGACGGCGACGACACGAGCAGCATGTAACGGGCGATCTGCCCCACAGCGCCTGTGTGCACCACAATGCTCGCGTGCACCACAGCGCGCGTGTGAACCACGCCGCTTGCGCACACCACGACAGACGTGCGCAACGCAGCGCCAGTGTACATCACAGTGCTTGCGTGCACCACGGTACTTGTGTATACCACACCGAAAGCGTTCACCGCAGAAGCCGTGTGCAACACAGCGCTTGTGTACACCACAACGTTTGCGTTCACCGCAGCGCCTGTGCACAACGCAGCGCCAATCTACAACACAACACCCGTGTGCAACGCAGCGCTGGTGTACACCACAGCGCCTGCGTGCACAGGACAGGTAGAAGGAGCATGTAGGTTAGGATCTGCTGCGGACAGCTAGACGCCACGCAAAGTGCTGATAAGAGAATGCGACGTTCTTCCCTCCTCCCTCCGCCACCTCCACCTCCTCCTCTTCTTCCTCCTCCTCCTCCTCGTCCTCCTCCTCTTCCTCCTGCTCCTTCTACTCTCCTCCCCCTGCATAAGCCGGAGGCCCGGCGAGCGCGCTGGGATGGTCGGGGAACCCAAATTGGTCGACTGCCGCTTGTATCGGCGGGATACAAAGAGAGCCGGGTACTAGCCGTAGAAGGCGGAGGGCGGCGGGGAGGTTTGGGGAACCGCGCCCCCGTCGGCCGCGGGGGCTCTCCCCTAAGGGGGTGGGTGGGGTGCGGGGTGGGAAAAGGTCGGGATACCCCCCGCTGCCAGGGATGGGAAAAGGTCGGGCTCTGGGTGGTCCGCCGAGGACGGCGCGGAGTGGGTCGCCCGCCGCCGCTGTGCCGCCGCCCGTGCGTCACCACGGCCACGCTGGTGACAGGAGCTGGGTGGCACTGGTCATTTGTTTCGTTTTGCTTCGTTTGTTCTCTGTCTCTCTCTCTCTCGCTCTCTCTCTTGTTCTTGCAGGTCAGTCCCATTGAGGATGCACTTGCTGCGGGGTCAACTGGCGACAACGGGGGAAGGAGGAGGAGGAAGAGGGGAAGGAGGAGGAGGAGGAGGAGGGATCAGCGGTTCGGCATAGTGCAGCCGACTGGATGGCGCGCCCGGCCCATGCAGAGTGGAGGCCTGTGGCTGTCCCCAGCCAGTCCGCTAAACCTTGGCAGGCTGCGCGCGCACAGCGCCGGCCGCTGGCTCCATTCAGGGTACTCGCCGGCCAGCCTCCGACGCTCAAGTCCTATCCGTCGGAGCACGGCACGCCTGGCCGTGGTCTCTGGACTCTTCCACGAGGCACCCACGCCGCAGCGCCATAGCCCTTGCACCAACGTGCGAAGCGGGCTTCCGCACCGCAGCCAAAACAGCTCGTCCAGCAGGCATGTGCCACTGCAGTGCTCGCGTTAAGTCGGGCCTGTCCCTCTACAGGGGGGAAATTCAAACATAGTCGGGGGACTATGTTTTGAGTATTTTGGGGCATCTTTGGAGCTTGCCTGGAGTTTTTTTTATTGTTCGTCGAAAATTCCCCTATAGGGGGACACGCCCGACGTAGTGCTCGCGCGATGTTGGCGGCCAACACCTCTCCGACCTTGTCTGGCGTCCTGGGCGCACGCGGCTCTCCGAGGAGAAGGAGGAGGAGGAGGAGGAGGAGTAAGAGGAGGAGGAGGAGGAGGGGGAGGGGGAGGAGGAGGAGAGGAGGAGGAGAGGAAGGAGGAGGGAGGAGAGGGTAGGCAGGAGGAGGAGGACCTCGTCTGACGTCCTCGGCGCACACGGCTCTCCGAGCGGCGGGCCAGCGTGCGGCCCCGAGAATCTGCTGGCGGCCTCGGCCTCTGGAGAAGGGTTCCTCCTCCTCCTCCTCCTCCTCCTCCTTCCTCCTCCTCCTCTTCCTTCTCCTCCTCCTCCCTCCTCCTCCTCCTCCTCCTCCTCCTCCGCCTCCCCTCCTCCTCCTCCCTCCTCCTCCTCTTCCCTCCTTCCCCCTCCTCCTCCTCCTCCTCCTCCTCCTCCTCTCCTCCTCCTCCTCTCCTCCTCCTCCCTCCCTCCTCCCCTCCTCCTCCTCCTCCTCCTCCTCCTCCTCCTCTTCCTCCTCCTCCTCCTCCTCCTCCTCCTCCTCCTCCTCCTCCTCCTCCTCCTCCTGGACGCGGCGCACCCACCCGGGGATGGCCGCGCTTGTGCGTCCAGCACTGTCTCGAGGCGGCGCGGTCCTCATCGGCTGCCTCCTCCCCCCCCTTCCCGTCCCCAGCTCACCAGCACCTCCGCGAGGGCACACCGCCCTCTTCGCCGCATCCTGCCTCCTGCCCCCTGCTGTTCCTGAATCTGCGGCCCCGGCACCTGTCACCAGGACTGGCGGCCACCAGGGCCAGGCGTGTCGGCGGGCGGTCCAGGGCGAGCTACTCGCCCATGGGGAGGCTTCGTCTCAGCTCCCAGCTGCAGGGCGAAAGTCCACCTGATCGCTGGTGTCAAGGCCCACAGGGCCTTCTCCTTGTCCGCCTCCTTCACGACCCCATTCGACTACACGCAACGCAAGATGTGACCCTGGGTAAGAGTAACCTTTGGTGCGCGGCTTTCTTTGGGGGGCCGTGGGGGGACACCACAGAGGCGCGCAGGATGCCACTACCGCAGAGCGTTCGGCGATCGGGGGACTCCAAATTCAAGCTCGCACCAAAGGCCACTACGGCGAAGTGTTCCTCTTACCCAGAAATGTGGCGTCCTGATTGTTTTTCAGAACGGGGCCCCTGGAAGTCCCGACCCTTTCCCCGGGACCGGATTTCCATCCAGAAACATTGTTTGACGGTCCCGAGGCCCGGCGAAGGACCCCAGGAGCCGAAAACCGCCAAAAACCTCCGGTCCTGATTATTTCACAGCGCGATCATGTCTGGGGACCCATGCCACCGAGGAGCAGCTTGCCCCGCATCGAAGCCAGTCGCTGCCGCTGCTGCCGCTGCCGCTGCTGCCGCTGCTGCGGCTGCTGCGGCTGCTGCTGCTGCTCGTCCTTACAGCCGTACTTCCGGGTGGCCTCGCAGATCTCACAGAGCTCACTGCAGCCAACCCGTAGACCGTAGACCAGTAGACGAAGGACGCACGATGAGGATGCCAGGGCCTTGCGAAGGCCATCTCGAAGCTTCTCGAGCGGGGCGCGGCCAGCAAAAGTGGCCAAGGGTGGGCGGAAGGGGAAAGGATTATGGGAACGAAAAACGGCATAAACATAAAACTTCGGAGGTCCGCTCGGATTTTCCGGATCCGCGCTGGGGCCCCCTGTTTGCGCCTCTGGCGCCGCCCCTGGCGCGCGCTCCGCGCGCCAGGTAGAGGGTCCAGCGCGGATCCGAGAAATCCGCGCGGCCCTCAGAGTTTTTATGTTTGTGTCATGCTTCGTTCCCCTGAGGATGCAGGGGCATCCTTGGGAAGGATGCCCATCCTTCTGATGCGGGCTGACTGTCTGCCAATGCGCATGCGGTTCTCCGGTCCTCCGCTGCCCTCTCGCAGGCGATACGGGGGCGCGCCCCGCTCTGCGAGGCCACGGGCCTGCCAGCGGGGGCCACACTGAGAACACACGACGGCGCTCAGGGGTGCACTCTCGTGGCGTCTGCAAGCTCGAGATTGGGACAGCCCGCGTGGGTGCTTGGTGCTTGGTAGGGGCGGTGGAGTGACTGTGGCCGCTGGACAGAGAGGCGATTCTCAACTGAATGATTGGACGAGTGTCCTCGTCTGCGGATCCCACGAGATCCCCGTTCTGCGCTGACAGGTCCCGAACCTCCCGCCAAACGAGCCGAACCGAACAACCTCCGCCATCTGCTCCCACGCCGCCCCCCGCCCTCCGCAACTCCTCGCCGCCCTTTCGTCTCCCTTGTGCGACATCGTGGTGAGGCTAACAGGCCGCAGACCGTTGTTCTTGGCGGGCCATGGTGGGCCCAGTCAAATCCCTCCCTTCCTCATGCTCCCTCCTGCTTCTCCTCCTCCCTCCTCCCTCTCCGTCGGCCCTGATATGTGGCCCGCTGCGGAGCAGCTGCTGGACCCCCACACAACGAGCTCGGTACTCCTCGTCATCCGGGTCCTCTACTGCCCGAAAACAACAAAGGCGCGACGATGTTCTCGATGCGTGGGCCCCCTGGACCTCTCGACCCCTTCACCGGGGTCAGCTTTCACCCAGAAACGCCCTTGGCAGTTCCGAGGCCCCTAGCGGGCCCCTATAAGAAAAAAAAGGCAAGGCCGGCCGCCTAGACTTGGTCGAGGCGTCCGACGTGTGGGTATGGCGGGGTCGTGTTGTGGCCACCCTTGCGCTGGTTTCTGACACCCCGTGGATTCAACATTGATCGATCGGTGGCTTTTCGATCGCTGGATAGTTCCATGTTGGCCTATGCTGGGCCACCAGCGGCGTTCTACCTGGAACGCCCGCGGCGGGTTCGCCGCCGCGTCGGCGCGAGACGAACCTACCGCACCTCCCTCCCCCCCACGCTGCAATGCGCGCGCGTCCTGCGACGCGAAGACGGAGATGGCCTGGCGCCAAGGGGGGGGGAATGGAAAGGGCGGCTCGGCGCGGCGGGGGAACGCAAGCTGTCCCTCGGAGGCGACGATAGGGGCGAATAGCCCAGCGGCTGGCATTACACGTATTCTTCCAGGAGCCTCGCCGAAGGCATGGACCATCGGCGCCCCAGGATACATGTATTGCCCTACCTCGGGCGATTCGCCACATCGTCTCCCCCGAATCCCCAGACCTCCTGGCGAAGCGAAGAAATCACTACGGAAACTGCAGGCGAACCGTTTCAGAACAGAACCTGCTCGGGCTACTCCGCGCGAAGGCGCAGCCCCCCCAATGTAATTCAGAGGTGCTGGCGCGGAGCGCACTAGTCTCATGGGACGAAAACCTTACGCGCAACGGCGGCATCGAAAGTCTTCCGAAACACGCCGCAAGCAAGATGCCATGTTGTCTGGGATCCCGCGTGGGAGAGAACAATCCCACATCATTCGGGGTCGGCCAAGAGGGGGGCGTCCAAGAGGGGGGGGTGCAAATCATGACCCGCGGCACGTGCGCGGCCCAGAGGGGGGGCCAGGGACGTAATGGATTAAGATGAGGCGCCATGAGATCTGGGGAAACATCATGGCACCCGCCATGATACCCCCCCCCTAGTCATCACCCCCCTCTTTGCCGCCCCCGAATCATAGCAGGTTGATGTTGATGATGCCGATTACGATCGTGATGAGAGGCGTCGCTACAGGCCGTGGTGAGCTACCGTTTCCACTGCGCACCCTCGCGCGGATCTCCAGCAAGTGCGCTTTCCTGGCCCGTCGACACCACAAAGTTACATGCGGAAGAGGCTGCATATTGTTCAATGCACTGCATGCCTTTCACTACCCATGTGTTAAGGGGCCCTGGGACACACAACGAAATACACACAATTAACAGTATTCCCCATATTTTCCCATATTGTCTGGGTTTTATCTTCCCCACCACTTCCAATATTTTCCAATATTTTCCTTGGGATCGGCTATTAATTGTGTCTGTGTTTTTTTTCCCCTCCTGAATGTGTACGGTAACGTCATCGTTGGAGCCAGTGCCGGCTAACATCTGACGGCCCAGGGCCCGGGAACGGCCCCGGGGAGCCGAACCCTGGGGTGAGTGGTGGGCGTGGGGGGTGGGCAAACGTCAGCGTCGTGCATGTGCACGCGACGCATGGAGGTCTGGAGCCCCTTCACCCCCTTAGCCTGAAGTCGGGCGTGTCCCCCTACAGGGGGATTTTCGACGAAAAATTCGCCGGCCCAGCGGGCCAGAGGCGTGCCCAGATCTCAGGTAACTGGTTAACAATATTTCTAGTTCGCGCGCGCGGGGCGGCCCCTGGGGGTCCCCCGGCGAAAATTATACCGACCGCAGCCCGACCAGGTCTACTCAGAGATGGTTTTGAGGGTATTTTTTCGACACCCCTCACGAGGATCGTGGCCTCCGAGGGGGGTGCACTCGACTACCCCGCCCCAAGAGGCCCCCAAGAGCCCCCCAAGAGGCCCAAGGGGGCCCCAAGACGCCGCCGAGGAGCCCCAAGAGACCCCCAAGAGGCCCCCAAGAGGCCCCTTGGAGGCCCCAAAGAGGCCCCCAAGAGGCTTCAAAGAGGCCCCATAGAGCGCTCGAGGGCCGGCGGAATGAGCGAAGCGATTGAATAAAAAATGCTCAAAACATAAACCAAAATTGTCAAAACTACTCATGAAATATTCCCCAGACTATTTCTATACTATTTTTGGATATTCCCCCCATAGAGGGACAGGCCCGACTCAACCCTGGGGTGAATGGTGGGCGTGGGGGGGTGGGAAAACGTCAGCGTCGTGCATGTGCACGCGACGCATGAAGGTCTGGAGCCCCCTCATCCCCTCAGCCGCCGCCGACGTCGCCGCAGCCGCCGTCGTTGCCCGCAACCACCGTCGTCGTCGCACCTCCAATGGCGCCCTGACACATTTGGGCACTACGTCGGTCCTCGTCGTTGTCGGAGTCGTCGTCTTCCGTCGTCGTCGAACAACAAGGAAAAACCGGTGTAAACATCAGTGTTCTTCAAAGCATCGATCTTTTCGTGACAGCTATCAATCCCAGATGGTGCATCCGTGAGCGTGGGCCTGACCGGGAGGGGGAGGAGGAGGAGGAGGAGGAGGAGGAGGAGGAGGAGGAGGAGGACAAAAAGAGGAGGAGGAGGAGGAGGAGGAGGAGGAGGAGGAGGAGGAGGAGGAGGAGGAAGGAGGAGGGGGAGGAGGAGCAGGAAGAGTCGGAGGGGGAGGAGGAGAAGGAGGAGGAGGAGGAGGAAAAGGAGGAGGAGGAGGAGGAGGAGGAGGAGTTAGTGCGCCTGGCGTGCCTGCATCGGTCCAGATGCTCTGCGTCGGCGTGCGACCGATTGCGACTGCGCAAGCAGGGGGCACCTCCGTTGTTTCCAGTAAGAGCACCTCCGTGGTTTGGACAGCGCTGCCCTTCGCAGCGGCTTGACTAACGTCGAAGAGCATCGGAAGCTGGGCGAGGGCTGGCAAATCCGTGGCTGCTAAAACGATCTTCCCAGAAGAAAAAAACAAATTCCTGGAATAAAGCTCAGCGCACTAATAGTTAACGGGCTACTTCCCGGAAGAAAAACAACAATTTCCCGGAGCTCCGGAGCTCCGTTTTAGCAGCCACGGGTTTGCCAGCCTTCGCCTGGCTGCTGAGACCAAGTCTGGAGGTACGCGCACATCCAGGCACGCACTGCCGCCCTTTTCAAACAGATGCCTGTATCTCCCGAGTGCGTTGCCGAAATCGCCCACTGCGTGCGGCGAACAACTTAGATGGAATTTCTGCTGTTTGTTTCATCCGTGCTGCTACTGTCACTGGCAGCCAACCTACACTGGTCAATTGGAATGCTGGCAAAGAGAGGCTGAGGCGGGACGGGCGTTCGGACCAGGCTCCTCGCTCTGCTGCGCCCGCGCTGCTGAAGAGGACCGGAACACTGAAAGCGAACTCGGCGCGAGATGAAGAAGCAAGAAAGCCGTCCCCGGAAACTTCGCGGCCACAGAACTGGCACACTACGAAGCTCAGTGTGATGCAGACTTGTCAGAGGAACCTCCGACACAGCCCGTGCCTGGTGCCACCAAAGAGCTTCGTCGTCTTCACGCCGAAGGGCCTCGACAACGCTCCTGGAAGCTCGAGATGGGATCGCCGCCGACACGGCCAGGCCAGACGGCGCAGCCAGCGCAGGAGGAGTCGCAATCACACGGCACACCTCCAACTCCCCATCCAAAAGGTCCGCCTCCGCCTCCTCCCCAGGTCGAGTTTTCGTGGAAGCGACTTGCTGAGACGGCGCGCCCAACAACCCAGGGCGCACGCCGCGCAGAAGCTGATCCCAAGCCCACGCAGATAACTTGGACGTGTGGACCGATGAACATGCACGTCTTGAATGTCTGAACTGGCCACCAGACCGCGCCCAATACCCCGTGAACTCTCGCGCCACCGTGTGGGCAGCTCCCACGGAGCTGTCCTTCGGGCAGCAGCGGCGCGCGTGCGCCAGATGGCGAGCGGTGGGTATGCTTTATGTTTATGCTGATTGCTCCTTATCGTCGTCGTCGTCGCCGTCGCCGTCGCCGTCGCCGTCGTCGAGGTCGAGGTCGAGGTCGTCGTTGTCGAGAGGGGACCGGGGCGGCGGGCGCTCCGCGAGCGCCAGGGCGGCGAGGACGACCAGGGTGCCGCGGCCGAAGGTCTTCGACTTCTCTCCCATGCTGGGCGCCGCATAGATCGCGCAGGGGGGCTCCTCCTCCTCCTCCTCCTCCTCCTCCTCCTCCTCCTCAGTCCTCTTGCCTCCAACTCCTGCCAACTCCTTTTCTTCCTCCTTCTCCTCCTCACAACTACTTTTCTCCTTCTCCTCCTCCTTCTCCTCCTCCTTCTCCTCCTCCTCCTCCTCCTCCTCCTCCTCCTCCTCTCCTCTTCCTCCTCCTCCTCCTCCTCCTTCTCCTTCTCCTCCTCCGCCCTTTCGCTCAGCTTGGAGCTGGGGTCGCCCGGCGCACTTCGGAGGGGCGCCTGCCGCGCGGGGCCATGGCGGCGCGGCCATCGAGGCATGAGGCTCCACGTGGCGAGCTCGCTCTTCGTCGAGGACGGCATTGGCCAGATCCTCGGCTGTCTCGAGCAGCAGTACGTGGAGGCGGGGCGCCAGTCAGAGCTCGTCGTGGTCTTCGACTGCGATGGAGTTCGCGGCGTGTCGCAATCGTGCCCACCAGACGCGTCGCGAGGAGACGACGGCCTCGCCAGCGAAAGCCATGCCGCTGGCGCCAGCGAAGGCCAGGCCTCCGGCACCGAGGGCCCGTCGGGTGCCCTGGCAAAGGGCCTTTCAGCCGGATGGCGTGAAGGCCTACGAGGCGAAGAGACTGCAGGTGTTCCTGGCCAGGGAGCGCTTCATGGCCGACAAGCTGTCTGGCAAGCACCAGGAGGAGAAGAAGGAGATCTCTGGGGAGGCGGTGCACATCAAGATACGGCAGTGCCCAAGCTGTGGAGCGAAGAACTTCGGCTTCAGAGAGAGTTGCATGGACAAGGATTGCAACCACAAGGCGCCCGAGACCACGCTGCAGCTGCAGAGGCTCCAGAAGCTGCAGGAGGTGAAAGTCCACTCGGACACGTCCTACATGACCCTGGGGGAGCTGGACGCGGCGCTTCGCTCTCGCGGGCAAGTGTGCATGGAATGGGAGTTCGACAGGTTGCAAAAGGAAGCAGCGGCGTACGCATGGTCGGAGAGGGGGATCGATCTCGTGCTCTCCTCGGCGGAGTGCCACCCGAAGGAGATGATGGAGAAGGAGAGCCCCGTGCAGGAGGAGAATGAGGAGCAGAAGCAGCCGCCCAAGAAGAAGAACCGCTGGAGCAAGCACCACACCCCATCAGCCTGAACGTGCAGGCTGACACCGAGGACTACCAGAGCCTGGACAGGACGTTTGCGGCATGGCGTCGCGTGGCAGCTGGACTAGGCGAAGACTGGCAGTCAGAAGAGGACGATGGTAGCGCAGCTGTGCACGCAGATGGCGGGGAAGGTGGAGTAAGCGTTCGTCAATCGCATGCTGTGCAGTTTGTCACGGACGTGGGGCAGAAGGACCTCAGGCCGAATCCTGGGGAAGGTGGTCCCAAGCTGATCGATAGCGATAGTGGCACGGGCCTGCCGCCGATCCCGAGCTTCCCGCAGCTCGCGATGCCAGAGGTGTTCGACATCGCCGACGGCGACGACGAGGAGTGGGCCGAGAAGGGCGAGAAATGCTCCGTGGCCTGCTCAGACTTGGGGGTCTCTGGCATAGAAGAGTTGCTAGGCTTTGGGAGGGTAGACGTGCAGGCCCTGCAGCTGGCCGGCGAGCAGCCAGACGACAAGCAGCAAGAGGACAAGCAGAATGAGGTCAAGCAGTACGAGGACAAACATAAGGAGGACGACGATGATAGGGAGACCAGTGCGCCCCTACCTCAGCCCATGGGGGCCAGCTCTGCCCAGGTGGAGGAGGATGAGGTCATCCCCACCACGGACGAGGAGTTCCAGTCCAGGCGCTGGCCGACCTGTACCTCGAGGGCGTCGAGCGCGACGGGAGCGAGGTCAGGGTTCGCTTCCAGACGCTTTGCGAGCGCCTCGGCATCAAGAATGACTTCGAGGCATTCTTCCAGGTCTTCTGCAGCTACCTCGAGGCATAGGAGGTCGTCAACACCTACCAGAAGAGCCGCCTCCAGGAGGCACATCAGGCCTGAGGGGGAGCGCGGCTCGGCAGCGGTGTGGGCTCACTCTCGTGGCCTCGTCGGTTTCGCCTTGGTTCTGGCGTTGCCCCCCCCCCCCCCTCGTCGCTGCGGCTGGATCCGCCTCTGGCCCGTGGGGCCGTGTTGGTTCTCTTCGGGCGCGGGTTTCCCTGTGCCCCCTCGTCGCCTCGTCGTTTGCGGCTCGTTTGACTGCTGGGCTCATCGGAGCGCAGCCCTTGGTGGCATTGGCCACGTCTCGGCTAGGTGCCAGAGGCCCCTGGACGGGCCTGCGTCATCAGTCCCCTCTCCTCCTCATCCTCCTCCTCCTCCTCCTCCTCCTCCTCCTCCTCCTCCTCCTCCTCCTCCTCCTCCCCCGCCTCCTCCTCCTCCTCCTCCTCCTCCGCCTCCTCCTGCCCTACTGCTTTGAAACACACTCACCATCACCATCACAAAGTGCAACAACACCACTAACATCGTCACCATCATCATCATCATCATCATCATCATCATCATCATCATCATCATCATCATCATCATCATCAGCATCCTCATCATCATCATCATCATCATCAGCATCATCATCATCATCATCATCAGCAACATCATCATCATCATCATCAGCAGAAGCAGCAGCAGCTGCAGCATAGTCATCACCATCGTCATCGTCGACAGCATCAGCATTATCAGCATTATCAGCATTAACAGCATCAGCATCGTCATCATCGTCATCACCTTTATCAGAATCATGATCCTAATCATCATCATCATCAGCATCATCATCATCATCATCAGCATCAGCATCAGCATCAGCATCATCATCATCATCATCATCATCATCATCATCATCATCATCATCCTCATCACCATCCAAATCAATGTCACTGTCATCGTCATCGCCACCGTTGCAGTCGTCGTCATCATCGTCATTATCAGCATCGTCGTCATCATCAGCAAAACCATCATCAGTAACCGAAGCATCGCCATCGTCGTTGTCATCATCGTCCACATCGTCGTCATTATAAGCAGCAGCATGGCCAACATCTACATGGTCCTACTCACCATCACCACCATCATCGTCATCGTCAGCGTCGTCATCATCGTCAGCATCGCCATCATCATCACCCACCATCATGTATCATCAGAGCCATCATGTTCAGCACCATCGGCATCATCCTTCTCCTCCTCCTTCTCCATCATTACCTTCATTAGCATCGTCATCATCATCACCACCACCACAATTGTCATCATCATGATGATCAGAATCAGCATCAGCATAAGCAGCAACAGCATCATCATCGTCATCCGTGTCGTCGTCATCGTCATCGCCACCGTTGTCGTCGTCGTCGTCGTCATCGTCATCATCATCATCATCGTCGTCGTCAGGGTCGTCATCAGTAGAAACATCCTCGTCATCGTCGTTGTCATCATCGTCCGCATCGTCGTCATTATAAGCAGCAGCATGACCATAATCTGCATGGTCCTACTCATCATCACCACCATCATCGTCATCGTCAGCGTCATCATAATCATCATCATCATCATCATCATCATCATCATCATCATCATCATCATCATCATCATCATCATCATCATCATCATCATCATCATCGCCATCATCATCACCATCATTCGGCATCAGGATCATCATGTTCAGCATCCTCCTCATCATCCTTCTCCTCCTCCTCCTCATCATCATCATCATCATCATCGTCATCGTCTTCATCATCACCACCACCATCGTCGTCATCATCATCGTCATCATCATTCCTAAATATCATCACCAGCGTCGTCATCATCATTATCAACAACACCACCACCACTTTCACCGGCATCATCATCGTCATGGTCGTCATCATCGTCATCATCAGCATCGTCCTCTTCTCCTTCTTTGCTTTGCTTTCATTCAGACGGGGTCCACGCTGGCTAACGAAAGCTGGAGGCAGATCTGAGTCGAAGGCGGAAGCAGCGACAACCGCTGGCGTCAGAGTGCTTAGCTTCCGGGGCACCTCCCCCTCCCTTCGAGTAGGAGATCGACTACAGCATTGATCTACCCCGAGATTGATTTCCTCGTCGAACGTGCGAGGTAAATACGTAGATTGTTCGTAGACCGACTGACGTCCTGCATCTGTTTCGTCGACTCGGCGAGACTTCCGATTGTAGTGTAAATCAATTATGTGCTCGACCTCCTACTCGATGGAGAAGGAGGAGGAGGAGGAGGAGGAGGAGGACAAGGAGGAGGAGGAGAAAGGAGGTGGGGGAGGAAGAGGAGAAGGAGGACGGTCCCTCCGTCCTTCTCCGGGAAGACCCCTGGAGACCCACGGGGCACCTCCTGTCCACTGGGTGCCTGTGGAGACCCTCGGGGACCTCCAGAGAAGGCTCGGGCTCCTCCTCCTAAGAAAAAGCCAGGACGAGGACAACATCGTATGAGGATAGATCAAGAATCTCCAAAATCTGGCGGCTCGGGAGAATGTCTCGGGCGCCGCGGCCTTCTCAGAGAGTTCCGGAACGGTCTGGGAGCGTACAAGAAAGCTCTGGAACGGATTTGTCCTCGTCCTAGCTCCATCCGGCCTCCATCTCTTATTCTTTTGAACAAGTCGTCCCAATCGCACCCCTGGACGTATCGGCAGGGCGGACCCAGCGTCTCGCCTGAGACTTCCTCACCGCTTATGATCCTGACGCTTCAAGTTCACAACAGGTTTAAGGATGGAGTGCGGATGGTTTTTTGAAAATGCGGCTCTCGCCTTAGCGCGGACACTCAACCTGAACATTCGCAACAGCTTCACGCATGCAGGCCGGGTCGTTTCCAACATGCAGCTATCACCTTAGCTCCGCGCAGACTCGTCTTCCAAGTTCGCATCAGCTTCAAACATGACGGGCGGCTCCTTTTCAAAAAGTGGTTTTCGCATTAGCACCGCGCACATTCGTCCTCAAGGTTTACGACAACTCCAAGTTTTCACAAGGCAGAAGTCCCAGAAAATTCATTCTGGCACAATTCGGGTTGTCAGGGCGCAACAGTCACGTTGAATCGCCGTGTTGAAGTCCGCAGCGTAATGTTCTGGCACGATGCCGGGCTGTCTGGACGCAACAGTCAGGTCGACTCTTCGCGTTGAAGTCCCAGGAGGTGTTCTGGCACGGTTCAGGACCCTCAGGCAATTGTCTATGGGACAGTCCCCGCGAAGATCAGCATCCCACCAGACCTCTGGGCGTAGATGGTCTAGGGACTTTCCTATTCCAACCCCCCTCCTTCCCCTTCGGGGAAGGGGTTTACCCCTCCCCCCTACCCCCTCCCTTGGACCTGGACGGGGCGTTCCGCGAGGTGTCAGAGGGTACTGTTTCGCTCAAGATGGCTCCAAGAGGGCCTCAGAGCGCCCAAGATGACCTCCAAGACGGCTCAGGATAGCCCAAGATGCCTCAAGTCGGCTCCCAAGATGCACCAAAAGGCCCCAAGAACGCTCCAAGGCAGCTCCAATACGCCTCCGAGACCTCTAACGAGGCCCCCAAAAAGCCAAAATCCTTCAAACATCTAAGGGAGGTCAATGATGCTCGCTGTCTCGCCTTTTCGCTTCCGATGGCCGTCCGAGGCCTCAAGATGGCGTCAAGATGGCCCAAGAGAGCCCCAGGAGAGGCCCAGGAGAGCCCCCAGACGGCCCCCAAAGCGCCCAAGAACGCCCCAAGAGGGGTCCAGGCGGCGATGTTCGGTGCTCCTGAGGGGGGAGGCTAATTGCAGCTCCCCTCTTGATTGATCGATGTCATCCCCGGTGGCCCCAAGAGCGCCCCTGAAGCTCCCAAGAGCGCCCCAAGAAGGCCGCAGGAGGCGCCCACACGGCCCCAAGGGGCCTCCAAGAGGCCCCCAAGAGACCCCATACGAGGCCTCAGGAAGATCCCCGATGTACCCAAATCTCCCTCCTTGTCCTCCTTCTCTTCCTTCTCGTCCTCCCTGTCCTCGCGCTCCTCCTCCAACTGCTCCTCCTCCTCCTCCTCCTCCTCCTCCTCCTCCTCCTCCTCCTCTTCATCCCCCTCCTCCGACGACGGCGACGATTCCTCCTCCATCCTCCCTCTCTTGGGGTATATGTCGCTTCCCCCGCTCTTTGTCTTTCTGCATGCTCCCCAACTTCCCCGATCACCTCAACTCCCCTGAGCATCGTTTCTGGATGGGCTTGTGGGGATAAGTGAAGCGTCAACAATTTCTTGCTGCGACACGATAGGAGGGACCTTGGAGGGAGAATTCACTGTAACATCGCTGATGCCTCCCCCCCCCCTCGAACTAGGAACCCTGCACAACAGTGCTCCAGAGACGCGCTACGTTCTGTGAGTGGCACTGCCAACCACGCCGCAGACGAACAACAGTTTCACGCGGCGCCCGCGCCGCTCCTCCCCCCACCGCAGCACCCCGACGAACTTGCCCCCTAGCTCTTCCTCAGACTCCCCCTCCTGTTCCCTCAAGCTCCTCATTCTCCTCCTCCTCCCTCTTCCTCCTCTTTTTCCTTCCCTTCACCTTCCTCTTCCTCCTCCTCCCTCTTCCTCCCCCCCTCTCTCCTTGCTCCTCTCTGTTGCGCCTCCCATTTCTCCTTCATCTGCCTCACCCCTCTTCAGAATCCGCCTCTTCCCTCCTGCACCTCCTCCTCTTTCCCCCTTCCCCTTCCTCCTCCTCCTCCTCCTCCTCCTCCTCCTCCTCCTCCTCCAGCCTCCTCCTCCTCCTTCCCATCCTACGGCGAGGACGTCGTCGTCGTTTTCCTCCTCCTCCTTCTCCTCCTCCTCCTCCTCCTCCTCGTCGTTTTCCCAACCATCCTGTGGTATGGGGTCCTCGTTTTGAAGAGACGGTCCCCGCGCCTCCTCTCCTCCTCTTCCCCCTCCTCCTCCCCGTCACCATCATCGTCATCGTCATCGTCATCATCATCACCCTCATCATCGTCACCATCATCGCCATCAGCTTTGGCATCAGCTTCGGCACGCTCCACACAAGTTTCGTGGCCCCATAGGGAGCTCCACCGAAGGCCCCAGTGCCGCCGCCCGCATACATACGTCCGGCACACCCCATTCGGCACCCCCCTCACACGCTTCGTGGCCCCATAGGGAGCTCCACCGAAGGCCCCAGGGCTGCCGCCCGCATGCGTCCCGCACACTAAAGCCGGCACATCTCTCACACGCTTCGTGGCTCCATGGGGAGCTCCACCGAAGGCCCCAATGGTGGCGCTCATATGCACATGCGTCCCGCACACCCAATTCGGCGAACCCCCACACGCTTCGTGGCCCCATAGGGAGCTCCAACGAAGGCCTCAGTTCCGCCGCCCGCATGCGTCCCGCACACCCAGTTCGGCACACACCCCACACGCTTCGTGGCCCCATAAGGAGCTCCACCGAAGGCCCCAATGCCGCCGCCCGCATGCGTCCCGCACGCCCAATTCGGCACACACGCACACCACACGTTTCGTGGCCCCATAGGGAGCTCCACCGAAGGCCCCAGTGCCGCCGCCCGCATGCATCCCGCACACCCAATTCGGCACATCCCTCACACGCTTCGTGGCCCCATGGGAAGCTCCACCGAAGGCCCCAGTGCCGCCGCCCGCATGCATCCCGCACACCTAATGCGGCACACCCTTCACACGTTCCGTGGCCCCATAGGGAGCTCCACCGAAGGCCCCAGTGCCGCCGCCCGCATGCGTCCCGCACAACCAATTCGGCACACCCCTCACACGCTTCGTGGCTCCATAGGGAGCTCCACCGAAGGCCCCAGTGCTGCCGCCTGCATGCATCCCGCACACTGAAGCCGGCACATCTCTCACACGCTTCGTGGCTTCATGGGGAGCTCCACCGAAGGCCCCAGTGCCGCCGCCCACATGCATCCCGCACACCTAATGCGGCACACCCTTCACACGCTTCGTGGCTCCATAGGGAGCTCCACCGAAGGCCCCAGTGCTGCCGCCCGCATACGTCCCGCACACCCAGTTCGGCACACACCCCACACGCTCCGTGGCCCCATAGGGAGCTCCACCGAAGGCCCCAGTGCCGCCGCCCGCATGCGTCCCGCACAACCAATTCGGCACACCCCTCACACGCTTCGTGGCTCCATAGGGAGCTCCGCCGAAAGCCCCAGTGCCGCCCCCAGCATACATACGTCCCGCACACCCAATTCGGCACACCCCTCACACGCTTCGTGGCTCCATAGGGAGCTCCACCGAAGGCCCCAGTGCTGCCGCCCGCATGCGTCCCGCGTTCTAAAGTCGGAACAGCTCTCACAAGTTTCGTGGCCCCTATAGAGAGGTCCACCGACGGCCCCAGTGGGGACGCTCATATGCACATGCGTTACCCACACCCAATTCGGCACACCCCTCACAGGTTTCGTGGCCCCATAGGGAGCTCCACCGGAGGAGGCCCCAGTGGCGGCGCTCACATGCGTCACCCACACCCGCCCAATTCGGTACACCCCTCCCACGTTTCGTGGCCCCAGAGGGAACTCCACCGAAGGCCCCGGTGGCCGCTCTCACATGCGTCCCACCACGCATCCCGGCACGCCCCTCACAGGTTTCGTGGCCCCACAAGGAGCTCCACCGAAGGCCCCAGTGGCACCGCCCGCATGCGTCACCCGCACCCAAGTCGGCGAACCCCTCACACATTTCGTGGCCCCATAGGCAGCTGCACCGAAGGCCCCAGTGGCGGCGCTCACATGCGTCCCCGCCACACATCCGGGTACACCCCTCACACGCTTCGTGGCCCCATAGGGAGCTCCACCGAAGGCCCCAGTGGCGGCACTTACATGCGTCTCCGCCGCCCATCCTGGCCCCCCCCCCGCATGTTTCGGGGCCCCATAGGGAGCTCCACAGCAGGCCCCAGTGGCGGCCCTCACATGCGTTTCTGCCACCCATGTCGGCACACCCCGCACGTGTTTCATGGCTCTATAGGGAGCTCCACCGAAAGTCCCAGCGGCACCCATCTCTGCTCACCCCTCACACGTTCCGTCCGTGGTCCTATGGGGAGTTCCACTGAAGATGAAACCCACAGCTGCGGTACTCACAACTGCAGATGGTTGGGTTGTTCCCCAGGCTCATTCTCCTCTCCGACGACGACGGCGGCTGCCACAAAGACCTGCGGCGACGGAGACCTCTTCGCGCGCCGCCCCGGCGGAGCCCATCGCCGGCGACCCGCGCCGCTGGAGTGTGCTGTGTGCTGCGGCCACCAATGATGGGCCGAATTCCCACCACCACTACCCTAGGTGTGCGAGGGAGGAGGAGGAGGAGGAGGAGGAGGAGGAGGAGGAGGAGGACCTCCCAATCCTCCCTTCTCCCCCGCCCTGCCTACGGCAGTGGTGGCGGAAAGTTGGCCCATCGACCAAGGCCCCCTCGAGCCGCCGAGGCCTGGGAGCGAGCGGCGGGCGGCGGCGGAGCGGCCCCTCCCAGGAGAGCCCAGCATCCCAGACAGGATCGCGTCGTGCAAAAACCCGGACGGGAGGTGTTTGGCCGTTTTCGGCCCCTGGGAGCCCTCGCCGGGCCTTGGGACCGTGCGCGAACGACCCAGGATGAGGAGCCGGTCCCGGGGAACGGGTCGAGACTGTCGGGACCGCGCATTGCAACAATCACGACATCGGATCTCTGGGCATCGGATCCACAAGGCGGACTGGCGATCAAAATGGATCGGGTCGGCGGGAAGCGGCCGCCGAGTCGAACCGACAGTAATCGGCAGGCCGGTAGGCCTTCCTTGAGAAGTCGGAATCCAAATCGGAATCCAAGTCGGATCGAATCGGAATCGGCAGCCATCGACATCGGATCGAATCGAGAGAATCATCACGAGCCCTGCCTCCGCGTGGGCCGCGAGTGGCCACACGGATAGAGGGGGAGGGAGGGGCACAGAAAGAAACTCCTGGGAGGTCTTCGTGAGGATGACTCGGGGCGATCGCGCCAGATAGAAGGGTCACTGCGACGGATCAACTCTCACAGAACCCAGGACTCAGCCGGAGCAAGCAAGAACCGACATGATGAAACGAAGAACTCCAATGGCCTATGCGTAACGTGGCCGGCTTCCGACCACGCCATTGCCAACGCCGATGCTCCATCCACCTCGCAGGACGTGCACCTTCGAGGGAAAGCGTGCATCAGGCGGTGCGCTGCGCGCGGGCTCCCCCGCGAGGCTGTGGCTGGACCGGGGCCTGCGGCCCCGCGGCCTCCCTGGGGGCATCCCGCCGGCTGGGCGGCAGGAGCGGGCTCCCCGAGAACGCAGCCCCATCCCTTCAGCGCCCCTCAAACGGGGACTCCACTGACGGGTACTTTGGCCAGTGACCCAGCGAACCCAACCCTTCCCGATGCGGGCAACGCTGCATTGCCAGCAAGAGGCCCTAGAGTGGCAACTTCCGGCAAAATTGCAAGGTACCCGTTAGGAAGTACCCGTTGCGGTGCCGTTGATCCCTGGTCACATCCCTGCCGCCGGCCAAAGACGAGGGATGGGCCGATTCCGTCTCGTGACAGCCTCGGACAGGCAGCCGCCGAGGGCCGCGGCGATTGTGGCACGCACAAAGCTGGCGAGGGAGGGTGAGGAGGAGGACGAGCAAGAGAAGGATGAGGAGGGCGGAGGAGCTGGGGACCCCGACGGGAAGTACCCCAGTCAAGTCAGGTCACAGCTGGCGAAGCTGCTGGCTTGGCCTCCAGGACCTTCTCTAGCACCCCAGGAGCGCCCCAAGAGGGCTCCAAGAGGGCCCAAGCAAAGATACGAATTGATAACAGGATTTCACATGGCCCCGAGACAGCCCCAAGACGCTCCTTAAAGGCCCCCATGAAACTCACATCCTTCAAATTCAACGCTTTCTTTGTCGGCGTTTAAGACATCGGGCGGACGGAGGGGCGAGGGGGCGAGGGTCTAGCTCCGGACCTCTGCTTAGCGCGGCTGTTTGGAACAGTGCGTCCTATAGGGGAGACTCCACCTGCTCGAAACAGGCGCCAAACAAACATCCAACATCTACTCCATGGTGGTGGGGGTGCGGAGGCCCACGCCGCCAATCGGCAAAACAATGAACAACAGATCGATCACACAACCGTAACTGTTTCGATGTCTCCGATGGGCGCCGTGGCTACAAATATAGCCCCACGATCGGCACACATACCCATCGGTCGGAAGAAGTAGGTAGAAACATGAAGTAGGAAGGCGTTGGAAGTAGATAGGGTGTCCGCTCGCCCCCTGAACAGGAGAGACGACGGGAAGCCACTCGATTATTGAAGTAGGAGGGCGCTTAAAAGTAGATTGGAATCTGGGAATCCAAAAAATACATACTTTCAACGACCGATGGATATCTCCTAGCGGAGCGCAGAGGAGCTCCATCGAGGGCTCCGCAAGCTCCCGGGAGTGCCGCCGGAGCGGGAGCGCCCAGAAGAGCAGCGCCCCAGAAGGCCCCAGGAGGGTCCAGGAGCAGGGACCAACTGGTGGCACGGGCGTGTCCTCCTACAGGCAGATTTTGGGACTAAAGAGAAAAGGATGTAACACATGCTCCACCATAGTAAAAAATGATAGAAAGCCGCCCCCAGGCTATTTTTTCACTGTTTTTGAACGTTCCTCCTGTTAAGGGACATGCCAGACTTAAGAATTCGCCGGCCCAACAGGCCAGAGGCGTGCTAAGATCTCCGGTAACTACTTAACAATATTTCTAGTTCGCGCGCGCGGGGGGCGGCCCCTGGGGGGCCCTGGGCGAAAAGTACCCCGGCCGATCCCCGGCTGGGTCCCGGGCGATCCCCAGGGGGGAGGCAATTTTCCGCCACCCCTCACGAGGATCGTGGCCTCCGATGGGGGGGCTGCAATCGACTACCCCCCCCTCCCGCTCCAAGGAGCCCCCAAGAGCCCCCCAAGAGGCCCCAGGAGAGCCCAACACGCTGCCAGGGAGCCCCTAGACGCTCCCAAGAAGCCCCCAAGAAGCCCCCAAGACGGCCCCAAGAGGCCCCAAAGAGCGCTCCAGGGCCGGCGGAATGAGCGAAGCGATCAAATAATCCCCGATGTAGCCGGAGATGGCCCTCAGACAGCCTCCAGGAGGCCAAGAGCATTTGGAGTCAGGCGGCTGCTCCCAGAGCTTGGGGCTGCTGGCCGCCTCGAAGCCGAGGGACGTCTGGGGCCGCAGGTCAGCTCCAGGATCGCTCGGAATGGCTCCAAGTGGAGCACGGCAGGGTCGATGTCGACCGAAGACACCCAGGAGCTTTGTGGGCCCCGGAAACGACAGGGCCGTTTTTTCACAAAACGGCGACCGGAAACTGTGACATGATCGACCCACGAACCCGGAAAGGAATGTAGAACTGTAACACGTGGCAGCGTTTTCAAAGACACCTGATTGGGTGACGGGCAAATGCAATACTGAAGGTATCGATCTTGATGTACCCTGCCGAGGGCTGTGCTGTGCTGCGCCGTGCTGAATTGCGATGTGCCATGGCGCGACTGTGCTCTATAGCCTCGTGGATCGAGTCCTCCTTTGCATCCGAGTCCTGACCGAACTGATCTGGATCTTAAGCTCGAGCTGCCTGAACACATAGTAGCTGCCCCAGAGCTAATGGACAGGGGAACATGCCAGGAGGACGCGCCGCGAAACGTCCCAAGGGATGCGCCAGGCGACGTGCCAGGGGACGTGCCATGGGGTCGCACCGCGGGACGTGCCAAAGGGACGCGCTACGGAACGTGCCAATGGATGTGCCACGGGATGTGCCAGGGGACGCGCCACGCGACGTGCCAGGGGGACTCGCCAAAGGACGCCCCACGGAACGTGCCAAGGAACGTGCCAAGTTGCAATGCTGAGTGTATCGACCTTGATGTACCGTGCCGAAATCAGTGCTGTGCTGCGCCGTGCTGAATTGCGATGTGCCATGGCGCGATTGTGCTCTATAGCCTCGTGGATCGAGTCCTCCTTTGCATCCGAGTCCTGACCGAACTGATCTGGATCTTAAGCTCGAGCTGCCTGAACACATAGTAGCTGCCCCAGAGCTAATGGACAGGGGAACATGCCAGGAGGACGCGACGCAGAACGTCTCAAGGGACGCGCCAAGCGACGTGCCAAGGGACGTGCCATGGGGACGCACCGCGGGACGTGCCAAGGGGACGCGCTACGGAACGTGCTGGGGACAAGCGTTTCGCTCGAGACATCCTGTCAAAATCATCTGAATTCCTACGCGCGGGACGCTGCACGCGCGAGACATCCTCGGAATTCCTGCGAGCGGGACGTGAAAACAAGCATTTCGCCTGAGACATCCTTTGAATTCTGGCCCCCCACGAGGCCACCGCTCGAGACATCCTCCAATTTTGCAAAACCAGCGTTTCGCTCGAGACATCCTCAACAAATTATGAAAAACAAGCGTTTCGCTCGAGACATCCTGTCAAAATCCCAAGAAATCCAAATACCCGCGCGCGGGACGCGGCACGCGCGAGACATCCTTGGAATTCCTGCGCGAGGGGCGCTTTTCCGTGTCGCGGTCGGCTCTGCAAAACCAGCGTGTCGCTCGAGACATCCTCAACAAATTCTGAAACCAAGCGTTTCGCTCGAGAAATCCCCAACTCTGCAAAATCAGCGTCTCGCTCGAGACATCCTCTACAAATTCTGCAAAACAAGCGTTTCGCTAGGGACATCCTCAATTTTTAATTCGCCGGCCCTACGCGACCTCGTTATTTATCGCAAAAGAAATTCGCCGGCCCTACAGCCGTCAAAACCGGGGGGAAACAAACTAAAAGAGAACCCTGGGCCTTTGCCCTTTCCGGGAAAAAAACGGCTCCGGGATTGGAACCGGAGCCCGAACCGGTCAAAAAAGGCGACGGAACCGGTAAACAACGGCGTCGGAACCGGCAAAAAACGGCAAAACGGAACGGGTAAAACAACGGCCCTGTCGTTTCCAGGGCCCACTAAGCCCGGGAGGGCCACAGAGTGGCGCAAAGCGTGGGGACCTTTAGGTGGCAGGCACCAAATTGGCTCCAGAAGCAACCCCCGAATATACCGCAATGCAGCGACAAGATGGCCCAAGAAGGTCCAAGACAACCCCCGGGAGGCTCCCGCGAGGTCTCCAGGAGGTCAGAATAATCTACACCGCTAGTGCCTTTGTTGAAAGACCTGGCTCCCTCACAATTTCGCATGGGCGACTGATGCCTGAATCTAACTTCAACATCGTCGCGGCTAGCTCCAAGAGGAGTCCAGAAGAGCTCCATCGAGGCTTCCAATACCCAACTTCCGCCGACCCTTCGTCGTGTGTTTCACGCTTTTCCGTTTGAGTCGCCGTCGTCGTCGTCCTCGTCGTCCTCGTCGTCGTCGTCGTCGTCGTCGTCGTGTGCGTCGTGCGCATCGTCCTCGTCGTCGTCTTGTTGTCGCCAGTCCCAAGGAATGTGAGGAGCAAGTAGAAGGGATGCCGCAGC